CCCTGCAGCTGGAATTAAAAGAAAACATTATTAGGACATTAAACTTTCTGTGGTAAAAGCCTGTGTCTGACAATGAATTTGAGTTAAAGACCTAGCACCACAAAGGCAATATTGAGATCATGGCGATTCTTAGGATCTCCATAAATTATCAAATATGTTCAACTTGAAAAAAGTTTTAAAATCAACATGGTGAAAACCATAGTGAATAATTTCTCAAGCTCTATCTGCTCATGCTATTAAGGCATCAGTTATGATCTTTTTAATGGGAGACTGCGTACCAGCAAAGGATGAAACATGGAGATAAACTCCAACCTCATAATTGTCTCTAAGACAATCAACAGGGCAATGTCCTCAGCCACTGCTCTGCCTTTGTGCTCTCACTCAGTGCACCCGAAACCTAAAGACAGTGCATTCATCTTCCGAAGAGACCTTTCTCTGAACAACCCTCAGCAATGGTCTTATTGTACAACTCTTCACACCTTCCAACAAAACCGGGTGTTAGCAGCAGAAGGAGATGGATCAAGATCATTCACCCATCTCTGCAGATTCTGGCGTCTGAACTGATTTTTAGGGCTGATGCTACCTTCCCTCCCTTCTCCTTCACTTCATGCTCAGGGATCAGCTTGATTACATCCAAAAAGCTGGCCCCATCCATAGGAAAATGCAGGCTCAATGGAGTGTCAGGAAGTCTCTAGTCCAACCTCCTGCCTCCAGCAGGCCTGGCTCTGAGATCGAATCAGGTTGTGCAGGACTTTGTTCAGTTGGATCCTGACAAACCTCCAAGGACAAGGATTGCACAACCTCTCTGCCCAACCTGGGCCACTGCTAGACTATTGTCAGAATGAAAAAGGTGCTCAGTAGTTTTCTGTTAAGTTCAAGTGAGTGAAGAATTTATCCCTGAAGCCCGACCTTTTGTTGACAACTCAGTAGGTGTGTGAGTGACTCAGAATGGGATACATCTCCATCCCCTGGCTCTGCAGGTGAACTGGAGTGAAAAGCAGCAAGAATTCATTTCCATCTCTGAAGTTAAAGTTGTCCTCAAAAAGGAGAGGCAGCAGGTCTGCTGGGAAACATGATGCTTTAGCAAGAAAGGACAACACCTTCATATTGCCCTATGTGGAAAATAAGCCCAAACTTTCTGAGCGAGGGGAAGTTCAGACTGGATTCAGGAGTGAGTCTTACTGTCTCTGGAACAGCCTCCCCAGGCAAATAGCAGAGAGGTTATAGCTTGAGTCATTTAAAATTGTACTGAGCTGCAGAGAACATCCTGTTACAGACACTTGCATTGACAGAGAGATCTTAAAACACCTGCGTCCTCTACCACTAATTTCCAAAGTCCAGTTGTTTTCGAATGACCAATGAAACAACCAAAATATTTCATTATAAAAAAGCAGCATCCTATTTTAAAAAAGTTGACATGACGCCATCTTTCTCACACTCATCCTATTTGTGCAGTATAAATTTGTGGGACCAGCAGCAACGTGCGAGAGGCTATCCTGGACACAACTGCATGTCATCCTGTGCCGGACTATGGGTTCACCCACACCAGAGCCCTGGCTCTTGCCCCATTTGAGAAGAATACAGGAAGACTATAAGTACAAAGATAAGTTCAAAACAAAGGCAAGTATACAATGATACACCTTCAGAATAGTTTCCTGGTGTTCAGTGATCTGAGATCTAAATCTATCTCAGTTCCCAGTTCCCTGAATACTGAGGTTTTTCACTTGCCCAGCTGGAGGCTAAGAATTACTAGGAATCCTTATTGACTCACAATCCCATACTTGGTAGCAGTCTCATTATTTCTTGTCTTAAAAACAATGCCTAAGGATCCTTCTGTCAAATAAGATGTACATGCATTTCTGACAGCCAAGACTTTTATTTTTAACGATGTATGCAGTGCTAAAGCTCCAAAGCAGCAGGCAATAGTACATTGTCACCTCTGATATGCTGTGCTTCTGTATCATAACTGTTTTCCTTCCCTTTTTTCTTTCTTTTCTATACAGAGAGTTGAAGCATCTAAATGCAAAAAGCATTGCCAGTGACTATTAATTAGGAGTTGACTCTCTTGAGGCAAATGCTCTTGTTAATTGACCTACTGCTTCACAAAAAAAAAGTAGAAAACAGTAGCAGTGAAGACAACAGTGGAGACTAGAAAGGCCTTGATTCTCTATTGGCTTGTCAAGAGTTTGGCAGATTTATACCCCCCTTAGGGTGGGAGTGCTGTGCAGCCTGCTGCTTCATCACTACCAGGCAAAGCAACCAAATGACATCGTGAGAGGTTCTCCTACCCACATCGACATGACAGATGTTGGCAAAGTATAGCAAAAGATGTTAATATGACTATACGTAATGTTGATATTTTACATGTTCTTCATTAGCTCCTCCCATTTTGAACCTGAAATTGAGCCTGTAACAGAAGCACCACATATTTTGAATCCTTAACATTAGTTTGAGACAAATTTATGTTTATATTATTTGTATTTCAGGCTTGTTATATTAGAATTTTTATTTTTTTATATTTAATTTTTAATAGCCTCCTTGCAATTGTGATCACATACACCAGACCTCAGTGGGACACGCATATTGTTTGCCCTATCCTGATTGACATTCTAACGATTTATGTGCTAGTTTTTTGCTACTGCATTAGGGACCTGTTTTTACTGTGAAATATAAATGTAGTTTGGGGAATTGGTTATGGTTTTATGTCTTAAATATTAACCAGTTCCATTTTTTTAATTTGCCAGAAAAAATGTAAAAAGTAACCCCTGTGGCTCAATAGTTACCATGTTATATATTATTACCAGTGGAGCAGCGGAGGTAGCAAAGAGCCTGATAAAGCCACCAGAAGGAAGGATGCAAATCTGTCTTCTCCCTGGGTAGGAATGGCAGCACCATCCTGGTGCCAAACACCAGCCAAAGTGGCAGCCTGGGAGTTTATTGCCCATGCCAAGGCAAAGCATGCTAGCTCTACCTTGGCAGTTCCTTATCAGACTAACTTTCTCTAGGTTTTGCTCTTTGTTGCCATCTCGGGTTTCAGGTAAATCTGTCACTGAGGTTTTATTTTTGGAGGAGCAAAAGTGGGAACTGATTTTGTTTCCTTTTTCAAGTGATCCCTTGTCTGGAAACGTGTGTGCACTAAGAAGCAGCTAAACTGAGAATCTGTATCTGCTAAGAGAAAACCCTGCTAAATTGAAAGCTTCTACCTTCATGCTGGGAAAGCATCCTGCAGCACCTGGGCAGGAAAAGCAGCACTTGCATCTCAGCTCTGTGTGTCAGAGTGAGACTCCAAGGTTCAGTAAATCCTCCTAAATGTACCACCCTCCTGGCAATGAATATTTTTATTACTTTTCTGTAGAAAAGCTCTACAATTACAAACCTTTTTTCTCAAGACCAGAATGTATTAATTCTCCCACCCATCCCCTCTTCAATGTGCTGTCAGCTTTGGAAATAAATCCTTGTGAGTTTTTTGCTGATTTGTTTTCCTATTGCTTCAGAAACAGTACATCTTCTGTGAACAGTCATACACGACACTGAAGCATGTGGTACCAGATTTTATACACATACTTCTAACAGTATCCCATGATGGGTAGCTAGAGCTCTCTCTTCAGTGAGGTACCATCCATCACTAACCAATAACTTTGAATAGCTAGTTTAATATTAAACATATTGATCTACCACTTCAGTATTACTGAATCACTCTTTTCTCCTATGCATCAAATACTGCAGTTGATAAGTGCCAAGGCACAGTGACGAGATAATTGTGAGCACAGCAGCATCAAGACACTTTCTCTCCTATAAATGCCAATAAATACAGACACCCACATGCCTTATTATCACAGCTGACATGTTACCAGCCAAATATTCTGAGAAAATACAGCAAGACAAAGTTCAGTTCCTTTGTCCTCACCTATGTCACCGTAGTACCTACTACATGAGTACTTGTACTGGGACAACTGGAATCCAAGAGACAACTCATAAAGCAAAGCATTGCTCAGGCTTCAGGGGGGCTTTCAGGCACCAGGGTAAAATGAATAAATATAGTCCCTTTCTGGCTTTCATAGATTTCATGTCTCATTAAGCACCTCAGCCATTCTTCACCGCTGTTGGATGCAGGGGACATTACCTGCTCGATGTGGCACTTCAGTTCAGTCATTTCCACCTCCCAGGCTGCCTTGTGCAGGGCATACTGCTGCTGGAGGCCCTGGCGCTCACGCTCCTCATCCCGCAGCTCTGAGCGGAAGTCATCCAGCAAAGTCTTCAGAGCATTCAGCAGCTTCCGGTTTTCACCTGCCTGCAGCAACAAAAGGGAAGAAATGCTGTCATTGGATGGCTTTAGCCTACAGCTTCATTTTGAGGGAGAAAAATGCCTGCATGTCCACTGCACGGAAGAGAAAGTGCCTGGGATAACTTTTGCATGAGGAAACTATGAAAAGCAATGCCTTGCCTGTCTACAGGTTGCCCAGGGAAGTGTTGGAGTCACCATCCCTGGAGGTATGTAAAAGATGTGCAGATGTGGCACTTAGGGACACAGTTTTGTGGTGGACTTGGCGGTGTTAGGTTTATGGTTGGACTCAATGATCTTAAGGGTCTTTTCCAACCCAAACGATTCTATGATTCTGCGATTCTATGATTCTACTTCTTCTTAGCTCTAGTCCTGAAGCACCCATGAAAGCCGAATATATTTAAGTCACATTGAAAAAGGCAATAAACATCTTCCTGGATTGAGGACATCTGTAATAACTTATTTTTTAACACTTAAACCAAAGCTAGAGTATCATTCCTGAAGTTTTTGGGTAGCTGGACATCTCATACAGTCATTGCTTAGCATCAAACCTCAAATATTTGTAAACTACATACAAAGAAAAGGAAATAATTTTCAATGCTTTTGTATTATCAGATAAAATTGCTTTGGAAAAAAAGTGGAATTCTGAGCTGAGTACCTCTGCTGAGATGTTTCATTAGTTTGCACTTCACATTTCTCCTCAGTCCCAGCCAGCTGCACACAGATTAGCTCTGAAGCAGCATCCCATTTGGTACCAAATTCACAAATACCAAGCAGGCCATGATCATACTGAAAATGTTGTCTGTGCTCTTGTGCTAGCCAGGAGCCAAGAATGGAGTTAAAAGTCTAGCCCAGAGCTGACATCTGATCTTGGCAAGTACTGAAAGACAGCACGTACATTTATTCAAATATATAATTTTTTTCTTAGTTTTGGTGTTTACATTCTGCAATTTCTCTGGAGGCTTCCAAAACCTGTAATTCTTATGTTAAATATTGAAAAACATTTTTCAAAGATTCATTCTGGATCAGTAAAACAAGGGTTAATCCACTGATTTTTGCAGTCGTTGAAGTAGAAAACAGAAATGTGTAACATGCTTTATTTATCCAAAGTTTAAATCAAATATTCCAAATGAGTCTCTCAAAGACCAGGTTGTAGCTAGAGATTATATCTGACAAGTTATTTTTAATAGAAAAGACTTTTAAGGAAATTATAATTGATCAGCAAACACAGCATGAGCAGAAAAATGGGAAAACTTCCTCAACAAATTCAGCATTTAAACACCTGGTTCTCATGAATGCATTAGCATCCTTAGGAAGGCCTAACTCAAATTAGCATTCTTGATTCTTGCATGATAGTCCAACTCATTTTATTTTTTATTTGTTTTCCCTAGTAGAGGCTTCCTACAATTCTCCTTATCTGGTGTTTTATGAAGTACCTACACGAGGACTTCTTTGTAGACAAGTCAAGTAAAGAGATGTACGCAAAAATTGAAATAATTTTCATGTGCTTCTTTTCAATGACTATACATATAAAATTTTATGCAGACAACTAAGCTGATTTCATATGCTCATCAGATTTTTGGCATCACTGAACTCACCTCACCCACTTCTGTAATCACTGATCAGACATACCACGGTGCCTTTTTTCTTTAAAAAAAAAAAAGTGGTCTACTTTTTCCAAGCCATTTGGTTCACCAGCAAAAATATGTTAGATGCAGGGAAATGACTGCAGGTGCTTGTTGACTGACCTATAATCTGTTTGGGCAAATGAAATGTGATGACATGCAACATGGGGTTTTATAAGAAACTCACCCACAGAAGCAGATTTAATTCCATTAACATTTAATGCCAATTAGCAGTTTCCTACTATACAGCAGCAGTCTCCATCATGCATATAAGATCACCTACTTTTCAATATGTCATGAGATTTTATGTTTCCACCATGCATTTTTGTTCTGATACCCAATTAAGGCTAAATTCTCCAAATGTCTCAAGCCCCTTGTGTAGTAATCAGAACAAGAGCTCTTTTGAAGATTTGTCCTTAGTGTCACAACAGGAGATGCTGGGTATTGAGTGCATCAAAATCTGGCCTCATCCTCTTTGAAAACCCTGACCCCAAATGTCTATGAAGTGCTTTCATTCAAGAGCCACATTCTGTGTTTTCTGGTGTGCTGCATAAACCTTTCTCTGGCCAAGTAGTCTGAAGCCTCCACGAGGAAAATGAGGCAGAAGAAAAATAAAGCCAAATAACACTAAATCAAGCTACATCCCTCATTGCTGTGCATACATTTGATAGCTTTAGAGTCCTGTAAAATTAGGTTTGCAAAGAAGGAAGTGATGGACTGGGACAGAAAGGAGCCAAAAAAGCCTCATTGCAGGTTTGTAGCCTGCTGGGATGAGGGCAGGTCTTATTTCTGAAGGCATTACACTAATGTCACTATGAGACAAGAACCCCAGGTGCCCTCTTGGCTTGCTGGGATTTTAATTACCTTGCCAACATAAATCCAGTTTTGGTTACATACTTATAATTCCTGCAGAGAAGTCTCTTTTGCATGACTTAATATTTACACTGAAGTTGGAGAGGTCTGTGGGATTATTTTTTCTGTTTTACCAAACTGGAGTGTTTTTGGAGAACAAAGTGCTTTTGAGACAATGTGCTCTGAAATACAATGTTTACATCTAGACATGCTTTATGTTTCTGCTGGTAAAACTGCCAAACAGCCTCTGCATAAGTCCCATAGATACACAGTAAGAACTACTATAGTCTTTCCATTTCTCCCAGGGATGCTGTACAGGCAGAAGAAATGGGGCAAGGCTGGACAGTCTCCCGTGGAAGGAGATGGCTTTTTAGTACCTTTCCAGTTAACGGAATTTAGGGTATGGAGGAATCGGACTGATTCACAGCTGATCTAAGACAAGAGAAATACAAAAGCTGTTTCAAGTCCTGTTGTATCCCCGACTCTGGATTTATACGTAAAGGTAACAACAGCTGACAATAAGCAAAAACTTAACATACTAAACCTCAATTAAATTCCAGGACTTTGGAGTCTTTACTAGGCAGAGTCAACTCCAGAGATGGGAGCTTCCAGATCTAGAGAAGTATGGGAACAGAGCAATTGTTTGAAACTTGGTTCTGCTTTTAAACACAATTTATTTTTCTCTGATAATTTCACTGAAGACTTTAGCCCCAGTCTGGTACTACAAGCAGTTTAGTAGAGCAGTCAATTAAAAACACAAGGTCAGAAGCCTAAGCAAGAACTGTACATTTCCACTGTCCAATCACAGACCCTGGAAAAAGTGCAGCTGGATCTTGGTACAAATCATTATAGTACATTTAGGTCTTAATTACTATTCCTTAGGGCTTTTTTCTTAGCTAAGATTTGAAAACAAATATTGTATGAACAAAAAAACATCTTACTGGGGATTCTCTTGACAAGCCCCCTTCTCTCCCGCAGCAACAACACAAGTGTATTGTTTTTAAATGCTTTTTCCATTGGACCACAGATGTGCATAGTCTTTTCATCTTACTCCCTTGACCTTCCAGCATCCAACAGGCATCTCACCCTTTCTACTCAACTGAACCAAAGCTCTTCCTCTTACCACACACATAGAAACACTGACTTACAGCAAGCCTGCCTTTACTGTGTCACCAGCCTGGCTTGCCTGCTTATCTCCTGCCCGGGACCAGACTTCCCACTTGGCTCTTGAGCCTTGCCAGTTCCTTTCCTGACCCTTTCTGTAGCCAAGGGACACCACCATGAAGAAAATATGAACTGGCTCCTCCCCATCTACTCTGCCTCTCATCAATAAACCTCTGCTGTGCCTTCAACCCTCCACACACTGGCCAGATAAATATCCCAGACCAGTGAGATGTGTACTTTACAGTGAGTCGAGTACCTCAAATCGCAATAATTTAAAATTAGAGGCTGCTAGTTGAAATGAAGGCCTCATTTTCTCAAAATAATTCCACTTTCCAGGCAGGGTGAGAAAGTCAGCAGCAAAGAGTGCAGGCTGAAAATACAAGTCATTAAATATTAACATTAAATGTTAAAAATAAATATGGGTTACTTCAAGTTACAGTAAGTCCTTTCTTTTCCCTGATCTAGTTATCTCAGCCACTCCTAGACTATCACAAGATTTCCTTCCTAATGCGAAACAAATGCTGATGAAATTAATCTCAGAGCTTGCCAGACAGAACCAGCAAAGTGCAAACCTTGGAGACTTTCGGCTTCACCACTCACCCCAAATTCCCTATATAAACAGTGCTTATATCCAGCTGAGAGCTTAAGGAAACTGCAGAAGACCCCCAAAACTCTGAGTGCTTTTTAGTGCAGCCTGACTAGTCAGTGGTATTTTGGGAGGTGAGCGCTGTTGAGAGAACTCTTCAAGAGGGACGTGCTCTGGGTCTGCTGATAATCTCAGACCTTTTAAAGGTGGGACAACACAGGCAAAGTGGTTTCTTGCTCTAGTTTTGTTTAGTTAATGTGTTTTGAGATCATATATAAATGAGTGGAGCTGATGTTTGTGGATGAAAGTCTGCAATGTGTGTAGAGCAAGGACCAGGGTCTGTTAGGTTGGTGAAAATGTGAAGGTCCAGCATGCAGGAGGCTTGCAGAGCCAAGCCATCCACTATACTGAGAAGGACAATTCAGGGCAACTGATACCAAGGGAAGTGAGGGCAGAACTTGGCTCTGGCAGAGACTGGAGAGTGCAGGATGGGTGCAGGATATGTGCTGTCATGGTCCTCCAGAAGACAGTTCTGATGCCCTGAATCTATGAGAGCATCAGAATTAACCTACACTAAGGCTTTCTATTTCTGTGCCAGAGAATAATCATAATCCTTTGTTACCACTGACAAATAAAAGCCTGTAGTACTGAAAACACTTTTTACATGCCTGTCAATAAACATAGTGCTTGTTAGAAGATTCACTGGCACGAGCAGGCAAAACAAGTTATCGTGCTTAAAATGAGAAATATTTAACAAAACCATTCAATCTTGCAGTGTTGAAATAACACTTTTTTCCTGGTTGAAAGGCAAAAAACTATTATCTTCACGAGTGCATTTGGATATCATGCAATATTCAATACCAAGAGCGGTATTGAGATGGGGTCTGTTCCTATGGGTCATCTCTTTAAGCATGATTAGCTGGAACTGCTGCATTTGAACGTCATGCAATGTATATAAAAGTGAATTATAAGCAATCTTACTTCCCATTTCTGCCACCTTAATTGAGATTAATGCCTAAGCAGTGATTATTTCAAAGAGGACATAATTTATTTGAATGTTCTTGATCATTTTAAGAGATCTCTATGGAAAGTTAGTACATGACACAGTTTGTACTGAGACAGTATGTTGGTTTATATCTATTTTACTCATTTTAGATTAAATCAGTCTGCAGATAGAATGCAGTTAAATGATGTGCTCAGGAGCATCTCTTCCATGGCCACCTTCAGCCTCTGCCAGTGAAGAGTTTGCTGAGGGGATGACAGTGATAGCCCTGGGTGACTGGCAAGGTGTGTCCTCGAAATCAGCAATGTCTGAGCTCCCACAGGATCAGAAACATTGGAACCTTTCCAAATGCCAAACTGATCAAACGAATACTACCTTGGTAGCACGCTTCACAGAAAATAACAGCTAGAGATTGGAGTTGTCAGCTACCACTAGGAAAAGGAAAAGGAAAGCAAAAGAGTATATAGACTTAAAGCAGAATATGAAGTACCATAAACACCACAGGTCTCTGCTACTTTTTATTCAAACAGAAGTTGTAACTTTAAGTTACATCTTGAACTAGAGAGGTTGGTTGCAAGACAGCCTGTGCATCTCCCAGCACCTTATTATAGGAAAGTGACTTGCTATTGCCTGCTGTTTATCTATTAGACCGTACCGATAAGAAGTAAACAGGTTGTACATAGCCATGAGAGTCTGGGGAATTCAAAGCAAAGAACTGAAATGCAAAGACACACACCAACCCCAGATCCTGCAGCGAGTCCAGTAAAGTAATGTGGTCATGGAGTGTACTTGTTTGTCTGAGAGCTCTTGTTCTGGAGTCGACTCCCAAGGCAAGGGCAAAGATAGAGATGGGGCATAAAGCTTCAAGACCTTTTTCACTGAATTCTTGTTTTACACAGAATTCTTGCTCCATCCTACTCATGATTGCAAATAATTCCATGTAACAGGATGCTCTCATCTGAACATTTTCCATTTTAAAAATGTAAGAAGATGACCCTGAAGATCTGTGGGAAGCCCTAAGACTCTTCCCTTTGAATGTTTGCTGTTACTACTGTTAGGACTGATGGAATATTAAATGCACAAAGGAAAAAACTAGGATAGTTTTTTTGCTCTGACACACACAGGCAGGGCACAGGAGATGTCAGTGAAAGTCAGCAGGATTTGCTTTTAGGCATTTAAAAACAAGGCCAGTGACAGGAAGGAACTTTGGCCTTTTTTTCCCATCATCTCTAAGGGAAACATTAAATACATGTGCTAGTTTCTTAAATTATTTAAAGGAAATAAAATCAACTCTTCTTGCTAAAAGCTTGACAGCAGAATACACTAGATGTGCTCAGGCAAGAGAAGCATGTAAATTCTGCAAACCATCACATACTGATAGAAGTTTCTGGGCAAACAGCCACAAGAGGAAATAGGACTTTTCACTGATAGCATCTGCCAACAGGAGGATAGTAACCACGTGGCTCTTGATTAAATATAAATATAATGGATGAAATCCACTGTAATTGCTGTGTAACTAGAAGTACTGTTACAAGTATGATTCTAGGTGATTTAACACAGCAGCAAAAAAAAATGAAGACCCCTGGAAAATCTAAAGCTTCCACTACCAGGGCATGATATACAAATGGCATAGTACCTGCTTCTGCTGCTGCAGTAATTCTGCAGTCTGCAGCTGTGGTCCATGTTCAGTGCTCTCCATGGTGGGACGCTGGGAGAAATCTGTCAGTGCAAACACGACATCCTCTTCCTCCTCCTCTCGCTCTCCATCATCTGCCTTCTGCTGTGACTGAATGCCAAAGTCTGTGAGGGCCTCAGGTTGCTCCATCTAAAATGCAAGAGAAGGGACACATCAACACTACTTTGCCATTTACCTTGGAGGGCAGAAATCTGTTGAAGGGTTAAGGGAAGGAACTATCTTCTCCTGCATCTCTGTGGTGGGATTTATTGACCTCTATTCTGTAGGCTACAGGAAATAATCTTTGGGTGATATATGACATGTAGCAATGTGAACACAACACTATGAAGGCCTGCAAAACAGGAGATCTACACAGCTGAGTGTACAACTATAATGCAGCATGATGGATATAATCCATCACGCTTTAATGAAAAACCATACCAGACACTAGTGTATTGTCTGCTTAAGATAAGGAGATCAGGAAGTATCCAAATCTAGCACTTTATTCCTCTCTAATGTGTTAGCAAAACATATGACTCCAGTAATGACTGGAGGTGGACTGACTGTAAATTAACCAGTCAAAAAATCCAAACACTGAAAAAATGAAAACTATTTTGATATTAGAAGATGAGCTAGTTTACATAGCAGCAAATTAGTACTGCTGAAGTAAAGCAGAACCAAATTATTTCTAAATAGCTACTTATCTCTTGTTTCTGACTCATATGACCACAGCAGATGAAGGTGAAGTTGTTCATCCACCCTTTATCTAATAATACAAAACATTAGAGTATTCAACTTAAGCATACTCCTACCAGACCTGAAAGGTTACCTGTACTGCCAGATGCAGCAAATACTGAAAAACACTAGGCACGTAAGTATCAGAAATACTGAGAAAAATTACTTAATTGCCTTAGCAAATGGTTTTGAAATTGAGTGAACCTGAAAAATAAATCTATTCTTCTCAAGAAATTGGAATAAAATGTCCAAATGGGCAAGTACCTTTTTCTACTTAATTTTTCTTAAGATAAAATTTCAAAAGCAAATGGTAATTCTCTCTGTGCAATGCAACACAATATAGCAACACCTTTCTTCATAGTGCATGTGGGCTGGCAGTCACATCTCTACTGAGATGTGTCAGCCTGGGGATTCCAGGTTGTTATGTACTTCTGAAATTCCTGATCTTAATTTAGCTGCTGCTTGGAAAATCACCATGATGACTACTGGTGTGCTGCTGCTGACGGTGATAGACGTGTGTATGGGGAAGAGGAACAAACAAGAATGATTCACTGTAAGCTCTCACAAGAAGCTGTATAATTCTCCTGCCAACACAAAAACAGAGCTTCCCTCCACCTGTATTGCTGAAGACTTTGTAAGGAACACACTATGCACACGATGAGAAAAACGACAGCTCTCAACCCATCTAAATAGATTTGACTCCATCAGCTCGCTAGTGTATTGTTCTTTCCAAAAATTATTCAGGAGTCATATCTTTGATACCTAATAAAATTTTAATTTACTATGAGACAATTTTTCCTGACCGCATGTTTGTACTATTTCAGGGTTTAGATTTGAAGATGGGTGATCTGTAATACATCATGCAGAATATACTTTAGCACAAGCCAACTTAAAAAAAACCTTCATGTTTAATTTGAATCTCCTTTAAATCTATGTGTAATTATGAAGTTGCTGATGCCACATCATATTTACAGTCTACACTTAAAGAAGGGACACCCTCGTACCCCCACTGCTTGCAATTTCATTAGGTTAATAAGGTAGGACAGTTACCTCCAAGGTGTCCTCCCTTTCCTCCTCCATTCGCTTGCCTTGCCGCCAATGTTTCAGCAGCCACTTCAGTTTGACATACAGGAGAAAGGTGTCCTGCTTGAAATGCCTGAGTTCTTGATGCAGCAGATTTTTCTCCTGGCTCCAGGTCTTCTCCTCCAGTTTGTTCTGCAAAGTCAAGCTCTGCACTTCCAAGTCTTTCCTTCGCAGGGTCTGCATGTGCTCCTCCTCCAGCTTTAATGGAATGACATACACCATGTCAATGGGGTAGTGTTCTGGGGCAGTCTCCCGGACTTGTACTTTTTTGCAAGTGAGACAAACTGAAATCTCTAGTTTTTATCAGTACTGAGTAGCTATTGAGTTTGGCTCAAGAAGTTCCTCAGCAGTTATGACTGTTGAGGGAATCAGAGAATAGCAGCTGACAAGCTTAGATAACCGTATCCAAGTAACCTGCTGTGGAAGTGGACAGTTCATTTACTTTAAAGATGCATGAGACCCTTGCTGCTGCTTACACTTTTTATACCACTGATGTTTTCCAACCTCTCTTGACTCTATCTCTGCAGTGTGTTCCCAGCACACCCATCGTCCCACACTGCTGCACATTACACATCTACTAAATACAGTTGCAGCCATTCCTACAAGGTGGGACCACATCTGCCCTTCAGACAACCTGGAATATTATCCTTGCTTCTTCCCTACCCAGTCACCAGCTCATCATTTCCTCTGTGGCAATGTCTCTCTCTCCTTCTGGAAGGACATTTCCCAAGGAACCACATCCAGTATCTCAGATACGACTACTGGTCCCTCACTTCTCACAGTCCATACTCAGAGGTGTCTGAATGACTCACAATTAATGGTTTCTCATTCTGATATGACCGGACCAGGGACACATGCAGGAACTGAAGAGACAGCAGTAGGCTGCAACTCTGCATTCACCAAGTCTCAGCTGCACTACTAGAAGCACCAAGAAAAGCTCATTCTTTGGACCACGCATATAATTACATCTGTTTCAACACAAGCCCACCTGACACATTATTCCTTAAATGTAACTTCTTTCTCAATATGTCAAAATCAAACCATGGCATGACCTGCACTCAATAGCACATGTACCAGTTAGCTGTACAGCATCTCATATTCTATGTGGATGAGATTGTGTCTCCACTCCAAGCTGTGGTTCACATTCATCAAGAAAAGGCTGATGGAAAATGAGCCACTGCTTAGAGATACCAGTTTCTACTATTTCCCATTCTGCGTCACAACAGCTTTCCCTTTGCTGACCACCTCCATAGATGAAACCTGTGAAAGTCACAGGCCACTAATGATCACAATGATTTAAACCATAAGAACATATCCTGCGACGAACAACATGCACACAGGAATGAAGAATACCTCAGAGAGTCTTCTTCAGGAGCATGGAGCCCCTAGCAATTAATACTGCTAAGAAATACACGCTTGATTTTCACGACAACATTCAGACGCTTCTGACACAGGCTACTGGTCCATACTATATCATTTACTAAGGACTTTCCTGTCCTTTAAATGATGAGCACATCATAATGTGGCATAATCTGGCATAATGTAAAATTTTCAGCATCTTTGCTACTGTGCCATAAAAAGTTCCTGATCAAATTAAAACTATTTACAGTAGTGACTAGGTTAAATGGGTTTAAAAATGCAGCTTAAAGCAGTCTGGAACAAAATTGCTATAATAGTCCAAAAAGCATACACACAACTTTTAATAAAAGGGGGTTCTTTTAAATCTAATTTTTACAGGGAGAAACAAATAGATTTTGTGCTTATGCAGGTTCTTCCACAAAATGAAGTTATGGTTAAATACAGCAAAGGTCTGAGTCATTTCCACCAGAAATCCCAGAAGATGATAAAAAAGGAACAATATCAACAGGATGGGCATGATCTGGAAAAAATGAAGAATCCAGAAGATGCTTTTGTTCTTCTATTTCTACTGGCTGTCAACATGAATAGCTAGGTTTGATTTTGCTGCATTTTCCATTGTTTTTACAAGCTGTTATGATCTAAGTCTTCCAGGTCACAAATTCTTGCAGAAGACCCTGATGGAGGTAGCTTTTCTGCTTTTTCAATGGATAGCTATTGCAGAATAAAAGAACTTTAAGAGGAAGACATAGCTTCCAAAAAGCTTTCATGGCCAATGCAACTAGGAAGGAAATCAATTTACTCGTTGCCTTCAAAAGCCTCCCTGAGAAAGCTCCTATGGAGATCAAATGGAAATTAAAGCTACTTATGAAAAAGTGGAGAGATACCACTTGTGCACAGTGAGATTAGCTGGCACAAGGACAAATGTTACACTATGCAACAATTACGCTGAATTTACTCTATGAAGTAAATTTTAGAAGAAAACTTCAGTTAAGAGCCAAACAGCCTACAAAAATTATCAACGGATTTTTTTCACTCCAGGAGCTAGCAATCACAGAATGATTGACTAATATGTTCCAGCCTTCAAAAGAGCAGGGGAGCCCATGTAACAAAACATGATTTATTCACCAGTTACGAATAAGAGGGTTGGAAGCATGGAGTACTGAGAAATATAAAGAAGTCCTAATTTAAACTGGAAGAGGGTAGATTTAGAATAGATATTAGGAAGAAATTCTTTACTGTGAGGGTGGTAAGACACTGGCACAGGTTGCCCAGGGAAGTTGTGGATGGCCCCTCCCTGGATCTGTTCAAAGCCAGGCTGGACAGGGCTTTGGGGATCTTGGTCTAGTTGGAGGTGGCCCTGCCCATGGCAAGGGTTGGACTGGATGAGCTTTAAGGTCCCTTCCAACTCAAACCATTCTGTGATTCTATGATTCTATGTAACAGTGCTTCTGAATTAAATGTTGGGTTTTCTTTGGGCTAGGAGGGGTCAGATAAGGCATAGAGCCAAACTGCTCCCAGACATCAAATGCACCCTTCCCTAGCTCACGGAGAGCTGAATGGGCTGATATAATTTTCTATGGAGTACTTCACATCTCTCTACCTCAACTTCCCCTGCACGGGGAGGACAAAACTTCTTTCCACCAAGCAGAGAAGTGAGATTCAAAATAGTAAAGTAGGCTTGAGTTTACATTTTCCCAACTTCCAGATTCTTCATTTACTCAGATGAGCTCAGACAGGGACAGCCATGAGGACACAATTTCCCATGGTCCTGACAAACAAGGTCCATGCCACACGTTATGGTCACGCATCATCTCTCCCAACAGGCAGGTTTCTTATTTACCTGGATGATCCTTTCTGTAAACTTTTCTTGTTCCTCTCGGTGAAGTCTCGTCTCCTGCTCAAGCTGAGCCTGAAGCTCCTGTATCGATACATTCTGTACAGGTAAAACATGGGAATCCCTGAGCCAATCAGCAGGACAAAGGGATAGGTTTAGCAGAAAATGTGTCTCCATGGTGTAAAAAAAAAAAAGGAAAAAGGGAAAGAACTGCAGGACAGACATCTGCACAACTCACAGTTACCAACAGTTAAAACCAAAGCACAGTGTGCAAATAAATAGCAATGACCTAAATACGTGTGGGAATTTCCTGTGTGGCTTCTTCTGAAAACTAAAGCTGGGATGCTGATGTTAGATGTTGGATATTCTCCTCAGGACTCTGCTCTGTGACTACACTTGAGTAGCTGAGACAGTGCACCATCAATGATGTTTGCCAGATTTAAGGTATTCCATATTTCTTGGTGTATTTTTCTACGATAATAAATGTTATAAAATTTTGACATTGCTGCAGAAGATGCATCTAATGCACATATGTTGAATCTAATTATTTATTCATTTGCAGCACTTCTGATTAGGCAGTCAATGGGATAGCACTTATTAAACCAACTAAGCATATAAGGTCCCTTTCTGCAGATATAGAACAGCTCTCCGCACAAGTCAACTTCGTTTTGTGATTTATACTCAAAATAATTACTCCACAAATGTAGCGATGTACGCTGTGTGAGCCTGAGGTCTGACCAAAATGCTTAAGTATCTCCCCCTTCAGCTCCAACACTATTTTAACCTTAATACTTTCAATTTTACATTCTCATTAAGATTGGCATCTCATCCACTTTACTTCTGAAAGTTACTTAATTCAAAAATAAAGAGCCACAAAGGCAGAGTCACAGACCTCATTATTTATACTATGTTAATTAATCTTGTGGCACTTATATTCCTGTAAGAACTTTCTATGCCCTTCAGTTTGTCTCTCACATTGGAGCTAAAACTCATTTATCTGTACAAAGTTGATGCTCGGAGACGCTGTCCTCTTCACATGTGTGACCGCAGAAAACGGTGCCAAACTCCTACTTCCTAGAGAAAAGATGCATTTAAAGAAGGGGTCACTTCAGGCTTCAGCGTGTAATCCCAAATTCTTTGCTGGCTGATGTCCAGCATGCTCCAACCTCAGCAGCTGCAATGATATAACACAGGTCGTGGGACCACTCTCGGGGGCTGTGTTGCAATTTCCCCCCAGCAACAGCCCCGGCACCCATCTCCTCTCCCTGAGCACTCCTCCTGCTTCCTCAGAGCAAAACCAGCTGCTGAGGCTGTTCAGGCTGAGGCAGCCCTTGCTGGGACACTTTTGGTTATTCTGAAAGAATTTGTCACTGGAACAGATGCTCTTCTCCACTAGCGAAAAGGAGGTAAGGCAGATGGAAGTATCCCATATACCACCCACAGGACCATCATCCATGGAACACCAAAAATCACCTTGCATGTACTTCCCGGGTCCTATCAGTTCCTTTACTTGATTCACTTATTGACCTGTGCAAGTCTGTTTTATACCTGAGGAAGAGACACTTCCAGCCCTCTGAAAGATACACATAGCGAGATCAAGAGCACATTAGCTGCCTTATTGATTCCACTTTAGGCCTTAAGGTGTCTGCAGACATTTTGTATTGCACAAGGCCAAAATTCAGTCTCACAAATAATTTGGAAGGAATTGTTTGCAATGGAATTTGCCAGTTTTGCACAATTGTTTGTAAACATGAGATGGTTATGCGCAGGTGTATCAGTTCAAGTTTCTCATCCAATAAAGGAAAACTTACTTTCCTCAGAAATAACTGGAGGCTGGATCAGACCAGCAAAAGTTACCAGAAAGGTGAGGTTTGAACTTTTCACTATTTACTTCACACTTGTGTTTTCCACTGAACAATGATTTGCTAAAAGATCATTTGTTCTACATTAGACTAGTATTAATTGAAATCACATAGTTACATATATAATGACAACACTTTATGTCTGCCAAATTAGGGCAAGAAAATGATAAAACTCAAGCAGTTTTTTGATAAACATGCAGCTCATGCAAAGCCAAGTTTCAGGAAACTTGGGCACTGGGATTATGCGATAACTGTTGAAATTACTATTAAATACATCCTAAAGGCAGACAGATTATTACATGCACACTAGGCAGTGCAAATATTTTTTACATTTGCTTTGCCTCTTTAAGAACAATGTATTTTTATAAGCAGTATAGTAAACGCATTGAAAAGCAGTTAATGCATCAACACAGAGCCACACACTTTTGCCTTCCTTAGGTCTCTTTATAGTCTAGAATAGTCTATCAGAAGCATTGGGATTAGTACTGCTCACATAAAGGGAGATACAGCTGCTTAAGCGCCTAATATATTGTTGCTAAGCATTTGGATCATGGACGAGGAATGTACAGAAATGTATCATGTGATATTTGTATATGCAGTTCAGGTACTTGGCTTTGCACTGATAGAAGTCTAGATTTTCGTATGTGGAAATCAGGCCCCTATCATATCATCAGCAGGGTGTAATCTACAGCACAACTGTTTTGGAAAACAACTCTGCTACAAAATGGACACAGAAGTTGGTATCCTGTTAACTTCCATTCTTTGTCTCCTTTGTTCTCATTCATGAACGCGCTACATGAGGAACGGAAAACATCCCGAATGTGACAGCTACCACACAACGTACTGACACCACAGAAACAGACACAAACTCACTACAACGAGACAAACATAATATGATGTGAACTACAAGCTAGTGCTACTCCATCACAGCACCACAGAAACAGCTGCACTTCATCTGCAGCTCGACACCAACTTGACAGTTTTCCATGTATCCCAATTATTGCATTACCAGATCCACTTCCAATGCCATCTCTTCAGACAGGCACTGTCAAATCCTTCTGCTGAGTCCTTTTCTCTCACCTGTTATCACTCCAGAACAAGCTAATCCATGTCCGTGTCTTTACCTCAAGAGGATGTTCAGAGAAAAGTCATCCGCGCTTTGGGGGCTTCACCACTGCTCCCTCATTGCGCTGACCCCCTTAAAGCCCGTTGAATGCTTTTCAGGTTACTTTTCAGCTTGCAGAAGCCCACATTTCTACCATGACTTGCTTTTAGAATATTACCATGCACCATGAGGTATGGATGGGTTTTACTTGTCTGTTATCTCCATTTTACCATAGCTAACTGCAATCTCAGTTTGCCTGCAAACTTAGTTTATATGCAACAACTGTGAACATCAAATTTCATGGAATCTTTCTTTTTAGCCTTTTTTTTTTCCAGGAGGGATGGAACAAAATAAGGCCTGAGGAGGCAGAGTAGAAAGATGCTCTCCAGCATTTGTGTGCAATTCCAGGAAGCCAAAAGATGAACGTTTTATGCTGCTCACCTAATGCTATGTTATGCTTTGAACTTTACATTTGACCATGCAGTGTAAAAACTGCTACATTTTCATGCTGACGTGATGACAGCTGACCATTGCATGCATACAATAAACCAGACCAGAGAGGAACTTCCAGTGCCTTTTGTATTACTTTTTACATGCAATACACATCTAACTGAATTCTCAGGGGCCACTTCTGAAGAGGTACTCTTTTCCTCACCCCTTAAAAATAAATGCTGTATATTCCATTTGCTAGTGTACAATAGGCAGTTGTGTGGTTATTTGTCTGTGCTTATATGGAGAGTCTCTGATTTTGTGAAAACAGAGAACACTTTGCTCCAAGACTTTAAAAATCCATCTCATTGTATGGATAGTATACAAAGCCTCACTGAATTCAGTTAGGACTGGGATATCCAGATTTACATCATAAAGGGTCTTTTAAGCCATTATATTGCCGACCTTTACGGAATCTTGCATAGCAAGAAAGAATACAATTCATCAAAGTAAATTATTCTTGCTGCTCCTAATCTTGGTGGGAAGGAATACTGTCAGCACCAGTTTGTCTTTCTTATTCCCACAACTTTGCATTGGAGGAATAATGGACACTAACAGATACAACTTCCTATGTGGTCCTCAGAAAAAAAGTCACAATCTATAAAACATTCACTGTTTCCTTTCTGGAAAAACAAAATCTTAAATCAGGACAAGAGAAAATGATGTGCAGGTTTTCAGCACATGGCCAGGAGCTGCTGTGAAAGCCAACCAGCTGAAAAGCTCTCATGTGGAATTATGAAAATTGCATAGAAAGAGCACACACTCCAAAACCAGCTAAAAATAGAACATTCAAAATACAGACCAAATTTCTCCTCATACTTCCAAAATGTATCCATATAGAAGTTTTGATTCAAAACAGGTGGAAGAGTGACTTACCTAACTTGCACTTTACTGTATATGTGATCACACTGAACCCAGCTATTAACTTTAAGTAATGTTTCAGATGTTTCATATTTCTTATGGGCATGATAAGTAAGGAAAATGAATAAACAGATTATGAACGACCTAGAAGAAATTCTTCAGTGTGAGCTCTTCCTACTTAACACTAGACCTTGTGTAAGACTTGCTTTTTAGGACATGCTCTCACCTTCTCTAGCCTACCTGCTTTTATTTTAATTCTCTGGTGACAACTTGTTCATTTTTTGTCAGAGATTTTGTGATGTTTTTCTACACAGAAACAAATGTGTAAATCTTCAAAAGCCACATATGAAAATAGTCCAAGTCTGAAATGCAAAGATGAGTGCTTTTGCCTTTGGGATATATATAATTACATAGGTAAGGGCAGAACTGGTACCCTTTGAAGGAACAATCAGAGATAGGAGATACAGCTCCATTTTAGAGCATCAGGCATCAAATACTGCAACAAACGGTATTTGATCATTTGAAAAGAATGAAATTTTTGTTCTGAGAATGTCCTCCCATTTCTGTATAAACAGGAGGAGATTGCTTAAGGAAGCTGCTTTTTGTTTATGGATATTCCATTAGTAAAAAGGGTAAAATTCACTAGATGAAAAAATATTTACCATTTTTCCCATCAGTTCCCATTTGTTACCATCATAATCCTTTGATTTGTGCCGGGTGTTTGCTCCATAAAGCACTGTGTTACCTTTATTAGTTCCTCCTGTCTTTTAGTCAGGGCAAGTCTCACTTGTTCACTGGCTTTTTCTTTGGATAGTAAAGAATAATTTCCCCCTCCCACCATAACCCGGGCTTCACTAAAATCATGAATAATGGATCGAACATCCACTCCAATGGGCTCCAACCTCCTGCAACAACAGCTGAATGGCTTGTTTCAGCAAGAAAACAAAGCCCTGCTCTTAAGGCAATTTCAAGATATAATTTCCCTTGGACTGTGACTCTAACCCACCTCTTTAAGATGCAAATACATTCTAATAATACTGTTGCACTAACAACTGCCGTGCAAAGCCCAAACAAAGGCAGATGTTTACAGTTAGGCTACGGGGTAGTTTCAAGCACAAGTCAGTCTGCATTTATTGTATTTAATCAAACAATTAGGCTCCCACGATGCTAATTTTTAAAAACAGGAGAAATGGCTAAATGAAGCTGCTGAGCATTACATGGGAAAATTCTCATTTAAAATTCAGCTTGGAAAAAATGAATTTAGAAAAATTGGTTTGCCTAAAAACAAAACATTTGCCTCCCTGAAATGAAGCATGTTGTTTTCATGCTGAAAGTCCATATGCAGTAAGAAAATCATCAATTAATGTTATCCACTGGCCAGTGCATGTATTTTCGCTTCATAATTTAAAGCAGATAATGGCTTAAGTGTAGCCAGCTCTGCTGTGGGCACTGAAGGGTTTGAGTCTCCATCTGAAATTTCTGTGGTAATAAAAGAAAAACCTTGATATTTGAATAATATGTTTTCCTCCTCATTCATCTGGCATTAAAAAAAAATTGTAGTTTTTGCTAGTCCAGTAGATGAAACTGAAAAAGAAAATACTAAAAATGATACCATACAAAATTGTTTGGAGGAATCTTCTGCTTCACTTGGATTTAACTATCACAGATTATAAGATTTCAATTGGCTATCCACCCACTGAAAACTTTCAGTGTAAAGCAGTGTAATATTCTTTGTTGCTTAAGTAAACCTGACTGAAACAAACAGCTTAGTCTTCAACATTTTCTCAGGTTGGGTCATTTAAGCCCCAGCCTTGCTCATGCTTTGAGCACAGCTGGACCTCAGATGGATATTCTCTACCTTTAATTATAATTACTAGCTTGTTCCTTGTCAAGTATTGGTGTGAAAACTATCCACCTTCCATTTAAACACAGTTTGCTGTACACATTTTACACACCATGCCATCCTGGGAAAGTTAAAAAAGATGTGCCAGAATTACCCAGATCTTAAGAGGGTTCACGTAAATAAGAGTTAATATAATAATGAGGCTGATCTAAGGTGAGGGAATTAATAAAGATGACAGAATTTAAACAGAATTATTGCAAACATTTGCTGTGGTAAGTTTCTGACCTAATCTACCATAACTATTGACAAATACAATTGCAAAAGGATCCATCCTCAATGGCAACGTTTCTCTACCTCATTGTCCATTCACAGCTGAGGAAGAATGATTTTACCTTTCAGTGAGATTCTTACGGTGTCCTGGGTTTATCAGATATCCTTCCCGAGGTTTATTATCACTAGTGAGAGTAAAACGTTGGAAGAGAAGCTGCTGAACAAATTCATTATTCTAATACTACCAAAACTCTGCACTGTCAGGATAGTTTAAAATAAGTAAGACAAAACCAGCAAAGAATTACCTGTGTTCAGATGAAGGGTCACTCTCCCTTTGATAGTCAACACAGCATTGCGCTGCTTGGCTACCAGCCACCCTGAAGCTTCCTCTTCCTACACCTGCCTTATAGTGCTTCTTATTGCTTACCCACAAACACAGCTGTCCCAGCCAGCATCCTCCTTTTCCCAGGCTTAACAAGGTGTTTCATATATACTAAGGCCTCTGTGTGAGTCTTTAGAATTAAAAACATGTTAAAACTTATCCCTCACTAAATGCTACCCTAACCACTACAGTTTCAAGGTGGATTTGGCTTCTCAGTGGCCAGCAGAAAAGCTTTCCAATACTCCAAGCTTGCCTTTACGAAGACAGATTAGAAATTGTTTTCTTCAGCACCAGTTGTAGTGTCTATGTTCATGAGAAAGCAGCTAAGGAGATGTTTACTGAGGCGGATATGGCCTCTGCATGGATGAAGATTTAAATAAAAACTGATTGATGTTTTTGACAAATGAAAAAGAACTCAACAAGCCAAACAATAGAGAATTCTGCTTTAAATAAGGGTGTTTTTCGGAAGCTGCAGGGTGCTGTGTTCCCTGTTGAGAATCACCATGCACACCAGCATCAAACCGCCTCCTGTGCAGACTACTGCCAGGAAAAATGCAAAGCGATTTCTACTTGTAGACTTTCCAGATTTAAAATATCCAGCAAGGTGAAACCTGGAAGCATGACCTCACATGAGGGATTACAACCTCTTCCAGAGATCTTTTGTTACTAAACTCAATTGTAGTGGGTCCCTGAGCCATATTTTCCCACTTAGCAAAGCTTACAGGGAGCAGGGTGATGAGTCCAAAGTCGGGACCAATTTGCTTCTCTGAAACCACAAGGGGGAAAAGAGGTCAACTACAAATTTCACAACAGAGGTGCTGTGTTTAGTCCAATTTACTCCCCCAACTCCTGGCTTCTGTTACTTATCTCCTGGCTAAGGCAGCAGGAGGCAGTGAGTAAGACGGGCTGCTTTGCTGACCTCTAGACTGAAACAGCCCTTGTCTCCTGGCCTGTAGAGTTTAATGTCTCCATCAGCTCTGCGGTGTGGGTCGGTGGTGGCTCGCTGGTGGTGAATCTCTCGCTCCTCTCCACGATCTTGTTTGAGCTGCCACTCCATCTGATCCCTCAGTTTGGACTGTTAGGTGCATGGGCGGTTTATAACAAAAAAACAAAAGGACAGGAGGGAATAAAGAAAACAAAAATGGGTAAGGTAGACGACTGAAAAACTACAAGACAAAGAAAAGCGTGAACAGAAAAACCAACTTAAATACAGTGGCATAAGAAAGTGAAGAGAACAAAACTAAAATGAGGATGAGCAAAATGATGGGCTGAAACATCTGAAAAGCAAAAAAGAGAAAGAGAGGAAAAAAGAATGCAAACACTGGTTATGAGGCGCATGCGATGAGGATGCATGAGTCAAACCAACAGCAAGCATACAAGTCATGAAGGATACGGGACACAAGGCTCTTCCTTCCTTACTTGTGCTGTGCAGAAAAGCCATATCCAGTGTGGCAGTTGTGGCAGTTTAGACATGCGCCCATGGGCAACGCTTTAGGCAAGGCAGTCCTTCGCTGGCTACAGAGCTTCTCACTCGCTGCTCGGTTAGGGGAGTGAGCTGTAAGCAGGCTTTTCAAAACACATCACTTAGAAAACTGCATTTGGTTGGGTTCTTTTGGCAAGGCTTTTCAGAACATGCCTGACCCTTTTACGAGAGAGCATAATAAAGACTTCCTCACATTTCTTAGCAAGGCTGCTAATTTACATTCATCAGAGTTATTTTTTTAATTAATCTCTTCTTTCACGGGGAAACACTGCTGTTACAGACAAAAAGAAGACAGATCTCTATAGCACCAGTGGATTAGCCTTTTTGCCATGAGGAACCGCCTCTGAATCAAAGGAGTTGTGCAAACAAATAAAAGAAAAAAAACCTATAAAGTGTTTGTTTAACACTAGACACTTTAATACATTGCAGGTCTGAAATCATAACAAAGCAGCTGTGAGGAAAATTAGCTCTAGGGTAATGATGCCAGCAAGAAAGAGAAACAATAAACAGAAAGAAGGCAAACAAGGGGCTGACCTACCTGGAAATCGGTGATTAAATCCTTCCCCAGGTTACCAATGGGAGAGTCTCGAGACATGGACGTCATTGTGGATAGAAAACTGGAAGACTCTGTGAGATGGGGAAGAGGTGAGAGGTCTTCCATCTGCTCCTTAAGGCCCTCCCCAATGTGATCAACTTTCTCCAGGAAGGTCTGCAGCTCTTTCCGGAAAGCTTTCATCCTGGAGTTAATGGTGTCCAGAAGCTCTGGTTCTTGCTTATCTTCTCCCCTTTCCTCACCACTCTTGAAATCCTGCTCAGTGGATGAGCTGCTGGTTATGTGCACCTTTGCATCATAAATCAAGCTGTCCGTATCGGTGATAAGGCGATCCACTGTCCTTTCAAGCCTCTCAGCCTCACGTTTGATGTTGATTAAGGACTCGGTGTCCTCTTTCACTCTCATGAGCTCGGTGGAGCACAGGTCACTGACTTCCGATGGCTTCCCACTCCCAAAACCTGACGTCTTCTCATAAACTTCTTCAGAGTCACTCTCACCCCCAATGGGCCCCTCTCTCTTTGGCTGGGGTGGGCGACTCTCTTCGCTGTCACTCTCCTTCTTCCCGGCATCGCTGTCAGCATCGCTGTCCCTGGGGCTGGAAGTGCGCAGGCCCAGGTGAGAGGCAAGATCGTAACGCTGGACATTGGACATCAGGACCCTGTTCTCATACTGGAGCTTCATCACCTTCCCACTCAGCTCATTAATTTGCGACCTGGCTGACTTCAGCTCCTCTTGCAAGGGGCCACCACACTTGGATGTCGCGTCATCCAACCAGCCTGGCTCCTGGCCTGGTTCAAACTTGAATTTGTTCAGCTCGTTCGTTAGCTGCTTGTTGTGATCCTCGATTTCGGAGATTGACCGCCTCAGCAGTTCTGCTTCCTCTTCCACAAACTGCAGGTGCCGGCGCAGCTCCGTGGCCGACTCCACAGAGTCACCGTAGGGTGAGGTAGGAATGCTTGAAATGTGGTCCCTGCTGAGACACTCTTTTTCGTACTGGCACCTCATATCCTCCATCTCAGCTTTAATCCCCCTGTTCTCCACCTCCAGTTCCACTATTTTCCTGCCCAGTATGTTGGCTTCCTCCTCCACCAGCTTCAAACGAAGCTTCAGCTCAGCCTCCCTGGTGCTGGGCGGCCCTCCTGCCTCACCAGTAGGCAGGGGGCTGTCCACATCTCCATAGATGGACTTGTACTTCTGGAGCTCCTGCTCCAGTTCGTCCTTCTCCCTCCCCAGTTTGGCCATCTTCTTCCGCATCAGCGCTGCCTCCTCTTTGGCAAACTGGAGCTGGCACTTCAAATCAGCGCTGTCCTCCTGCCAAGAGTAATTACCCCCCATCCAAAGATTATATTATAATAGAAGGACAATCAGATGCTTCTTTTCCAAAATCTCCACCTCCCCACCCTCTGAGCTCTATCTGTTAAGTATGCAAACAATACAGACAGAGCTGTGAAAACCACACAGTTGACACATTTCACAGCTTGGTCCTGGTTAAACTGACAAAGCAGCTTGATCAGAATTAAAGAGGAAAAAAAAAAAGTAAAAATCAGTGTGCCAATGTAAGTGTTGAGTGATACAAGAGTGTCAGTGTAAGTGTTCCGTCATGCAAGAGTGTCAGTGCAATGCTTAGTTTTTCTCAATTACCAAGCAATTTTTGTGGAAAATAAGAACTACTCAAATTAAAAGGCTCCATGATTTTTGATGCTTTCTGTTCCATTTATGTTTAATGATACATTTGCTCCCTTTTAGTATCACAAAACATAGCCTGCTCAGATGAATTTTCTCATCGTAACCCCAAATCTTGGGGTTCTTGGGGTTCTTGGGGTTAGCTTGTTCAGCTAACGAGCACAAAAAAAGTGTGCTGAGTTGCCTTGCAAAGTGAAAACTTTAATTACTGGATCTCACAACACTGTGAGATAGCCCAAGTGCCTAACTCGCTTTCTGAACAGGAAGTGCTACTGTTGTCTCTGCTGCTGTTATTATAAGGATGGACGAGACAGTGATCACTGTTTCTGGTATGGACAACTGTTCACAAGGGAGATTGGTCAAAACATGTGAAAAAGGAAAGAAAAATGCCTTAAACCATGGTTACATCCAAATTCATCCCATGTGAAAGCCTGCGTTTTTCAGGAAGCACCAGGGTATTCAATGAGAGTTTGATTTTTTTGGTGCGTGCTGGGCATTTTAAAGCTCCACATCTCAAGTCAAATGAAAACTCCAGTGTGTATTGTGCTGAAATAAGAGACAAGGTTAAGTAAATTCTAAGCCGATGAACAATCTCTTTGCATGAATCACTTTCATGAATTGTCATGGAGATACAGGCACTTGGCCTTGTAAGAGACACATTTATCAGCATTAGCAGTATAATGGAAGGCAGGCTTTGAAAGATGATCTCTTGAGACAGCAGATTTCATCATTGTTGGTAGGCCATGTGGACATATGTGCAATTATCTACGGAAACTTCATTTTAGTCTCCGGAGCACTGTTATCTTTCACAAGCACCATTTTGTGATAATTCCTAATAATGGCAACCAAACACAGAAGAAAACATGACTGAGTTTAATTGTTCACCCGGATCAGGCTATTAAAAAAAAAAAGATTTACAAAACTAATTACGGCTCAGCAATCTGAGGAAATTATTTAATTTCTAAAGCACACAGCCTTGCACATTGGTAATGATGTCTTTTATGTTACCTAGATTAATTTCACCCCCTTCTATTTAGATACATACTAATTATGTCTTAATTTCAGCTATTAATACCTAAACAGTCACAGAAGTAATTGGTTGTATACTTCTGAACTCAGTCGGCTCTCTTGCTGATTCTGCTTGGCTCACGTTGAGACTTTAAAATATTAAATAGTAAGAAAGTTATCTTAAATGTTAATAACATGATAAGAGGTAAACAACAGTCAAAGTTTCTGTTAATATGTGGTTTTCAGTAAAAACCAGGCATCAAACACAACTGCAATCAGCTCATCAGTTAACTGACTAAAACGCTGGTCATGTTTCTAGCAGCAGAAATGTGAGTTTTCTATGAATGCAACTGAGGTGCATTTAACTGATTAGAAGCAGAGCCTCTAAAAGATGGGCTTTCTTTCTTCTCTATCATCTCCTCAAATACACACACCTGTTTTTCAAATATATATTTGCAAATTGTTTTTTGCTTTCTGATCTGAAACTGCAAATTAAGTATCAGGTTAAAATCTGGCAAAACTCCATGCAGTCTCCACTGGAGTCACTCTGAATTCTGATTGCTCTGGTTGGATGAGGCTGTATGATTAAAGCATCATCTTTGGTCAGGGCTGCACAATACATTACCTCTGTTTTTCCTATTATCAAGGATCAGTTTATCCCCACAGCTCTAGGTTTTGTTTTTAGGGGAATACAAAGATCACAAGGAAGGTTACATCTAGACCAGTGCTGCACACCAGTGCTCGCAGGTGGGGCAATTACTCTGGTTTATTTATTTATCTGTTAATAGCTTGGAAATAATAACATCTGACATTTTCCTTATTCTGCCTTTGTAACCCAGCAGTCTTCCCATTGCTTCTTGTTTGCCTTTGGCTGCAAGCACCCAACCATCAGCAGCACTAACTGGCCCCTTGCACCATGGGGCAGCTGGCCCCATGCCCACAGGGAAGGGACAACCTGCCCAAACCCTTCTTCTCCTGGCTGGGAGCTCCTTTTCGGGGGTCAGAAGGGGCTCCAGTCTAACATACACTGAGTTTCAAGCAATATAAGTAACAGTCAAAGGTTACAGTCAGGGCAACACACTCAGCATTTCGAAGCTTTTGAAGAAAAGGGAAGGACTCCAATTGGTTGGGGGTCAGTGCCCCAGTGTTTTTGCTCGGCATCACTGCATGACTCAATGCATCTGCAGAGTTAGTGTGTTATTATAGCATGACAAAACCACCGTTAACTTCTCATAACAGCATTACTTTATCGCTCGGTTTTGTCTAAGAGCAAAAAGGATCCCATTTGTAAGTTTTGTTTTTCACAAGAGCTGAAACAAACAAGATTTTTTTCATTAAACAAACACAAGCCTCATACAAAACAACAGAGCTGATGGATGTTAATCTCTCCTACTAAATATGGATCCCATCTGGAAAGGTGAGAAAGCTCTATATCTTCCTGCTTCTCTGCCAGGAAACATGACTACTGAAAATCCCATTCCCCAGACAGCTTTTTATCCAAAGGAAAAGAATGGTCAGGAGAGATTTATCAGCCAGTTCCAAGCATGCCAGAAGGGTAGGACTCCAACCTTCATGCATCTGTCCCTCTGAAACTTTGCGTACAGAAATATCAGCAATTTCTTGATCAGTTGAAACCAAGTGGAAACAGCAAGAGGGCAAGACAACCACACAAGCAAGTAGAGTTTCGAAATAAAGGGCAAACTAAGGAGAGGCCAAATCACAGAAATTAAGAATAGTTCATTATTAGATCCCAGGAATGTAAAAAAGGAAAAAAAAAAGGTAAATACAATCTTTTCAGCATTTTGGAGAAACAAGAGAATTGAATCCCAGAGGCTGAAAGCTGGGTTATGGCACAGCCTGACTGTTTTTCGCATCCAGTATGTGGACACTTTCCTAAAAGGTGCACATAGGGCAGACCATACAGAAAGAAAAGAAGGAATGACAGTGCAAAAATGTTCTGTCAGTCATGGTGCTAATCACAGACTTTAAGAGATCATTAAGGATAAATGGGAATTAATGATTACTGATAGTGATTGTTTGCATGCAATAGCATCACAGCTCTGCATGACACTTCAGAGGGATGCTAATGGAAAAAAAGGCAGAAAGAAAAAACCCAGATCCCTCCCTACAGAGTCTGCAGTCTAATTTAGACAAATGTAGAACGCTGAGATAAAGAAATGAAACTTAAATGAAAGAAATGAACTTAAATTCATTATGCAGCATAAATGATGTGATGAGAATGAAAAGCTGATCAAAAATTCCCAAATATGATATTTCTTTTCTGGCAAGAAGACACAAAGCTAGATAGAGACCAACGCCATCTCCTCTACCACCACCACCACTGGCTCAAGGGAGCTGCCAGGCAGAAGATGGGTAAGCGGTTTTGGGGTTGCAAGTCTGACGACAGGGCAGTACAACCAGCACCCAAGCATCTGGCTGAGTGCCAGCACTCCTACCTTGCACTGGAGAACCACTTTTCTTTGTGTTTTGCCTGGTGCCTGGTATTTTCCAAGAAGCTCCGTTTTGCAATTCTGCTGAATAAAAACTTTTTTTCTTCAATACTGCTAGAGGCGGGTAAGCACTACAATGAATTCTGCTTTTACATGATTTCAAGACAATCAATTTCACAGGTATTATTTACTCTGTGTGCCCTGCAGTGGCTGCGATGTTCCAGCTAATTTTCATTATGAGCTCCCAGGAAGTAAAACCACCACTCTTACCATATGCTATACATATCTGTAAGCATGCAGATGCACAGAAACTAAGTTTGTGGTTGATTTTCACAAAACATGTAATGGGTATTTGAACTTATTTTAAGTATTTAGGGTGGCTGTCCCTGAAAAGCAGTGTTTTGGACCTCCTGGGTTGTGTCTCTACAGACCCCTTTGGGGCATGTCCCAGGACCCAGTGGCTGTTTGACCAGGTTGAGCACTTGCTGTGGTGCACTCTGGTCTCACCCAGCACATAACTCTGAAGGGATACCCGGGTTTGGAGACAGCTCTGGGCAGCACCCTAGAGTTGGGAGACAGCTAGGACATGCAGCTATAGGGTGGGCCATGTCAATATATAAGATTGTTTCTCAGTCTTTCCTATCCTGAAGAATTGCTGAAGAAAACTAAATGGCCACCTTGCACAGTACTGTCGCAATGGTTTTCATTTTCAAGCCTAAAGCCTTTGCTTGCATGAGTTACAATGTGTGTGTGCAGCATAAAGGGGTTTTTTTGTTCCCTTAGGTGGTTTCGAGGGTCACTTCCTCATGCTGTGAGAGAAGCAGAGCTGACCCAGGGTTACTCAGTTAATTCTGTGAAGTTCTTTTTTTAGGGCTTTCCAAGGCAAACCGCAGCTGCTCTTACTCCCTGGATTTGGGCAGAGGAAGCAAGCACATGGAATCCATTCCCTCTGCACAGCTCTGTATTTCCAGGGATAAGGAAAGGAAGAATACTGTCACCCACAAACCCCAGTGGACACAACCCTGCCTTCACGTAGCTTCATCCGTAATCTGCATGTGGGTGGGCATTTGTATAGATTTCATCCATGTATTTTACAGACTTACAGAAAAACAAACTCCCTGACCTGACTGACAACACAAATAATTCTCCATAGCAGGCGCTGCAGGCAGAAAGCCCAGTGCCCCATTTTAAGGTCTGAATAAGCTGTGCTTCTATTAGCTCGGCAGGGACACTTGGTTGCTGTGTTCTGGGAAAGCAGGCTGCAGCCTCCAGCCACCATAAGCCCCAGGTCTGCCCACCCTACCCACTCAAGTGCATCATGTTGCAATGATTTATTGTGGTTATTATTACAAAACAATGGATTTTAAGATTTTGTTGCCTCAGAGAAAACCCACAGGTCTCAGATGTGTACACCGAGCCAGCTGAGGAGGAGGCAGGGGAGGCACAACCTTCCCTTAACAAAGGCATGATGTCGCTCTTGGCTCCATTTGCAGTGAGATGAAACTCTATTCCCATCTCTCCTGCTATAAACAGCAACTGCATGGGTGCTGGGAAAAGCTTTAACTCCTACAGTCAGCACAAAAAGCAAGAGGAAATCAGCCAGACTGCTTTCCTGAGAAGGATCAGTCTACGGGATTTCAATAAAAGTGGTGTCCAAAGGGAGACTGAGTGGGTAGCTTAGGCTTTGGGTTGTACCTCAACTCAGGGGGACACAAGTTCACATGCTGCCTCCACCCCCAACACCAGAGAGGGATCAAATCCGGGGCTGCGACATGAGAGCTCGCAAGGTGTCATTGCAGTGTGTCAACCGCGTTCCCTGCCAAGATGCTTATTAGCACAAAATCTCTGGCTCTGCGTATAAATTTAGTTAGTCCCTAAACTGCGATCCAATTACTCTGTGAGGCAAGGTGAATTTCTCTTCTTGTAGAAGACCTGCAGCCTAAATCTACAGATACAAGCACAACGAGCCTGAGAAGCTGCACGGTTTAGAGATCACACTTGTGTCCTAAATTGTTTCTACATTATCTCTGGGAGGTCTCAGTAGATTAAGGCCTAATTGCACTCTAGTTAATGTGCCTGATGGCCCTGTCAACACCCGTAAAAAGAAATTTGCAGTTTTATTGTGTGCTTTCACTCAAAATTACACACTCTTGAAAACCATACCTGGGTAAATGTCTTTTTTTCTTTGTGGATTTCTCTGCTGCCTCTTCTTTTCAGGGAACTCTGCAATAGAAGCAATGCTGAGTTATTGATAAGCTAAACACAAAGCCTGCAAGTTTGGCAGGGTTCATCACCATAAAACTGATTGAAGAAAAAGGAAGAATATTCTTCTGAGCAGCTAGGAATTTAATTTTTCATATTAATCACTAAAAAACCAAGATGACCAAGGGCCTTGTCAGTGAATTTTTCAATGTACAAAATTTCTCACCAAAAAAAGAAAATGAATAAAATCAGTTAAAAGTTTACAGAGGGGAAAAAAAAACCCACCCTCTTCAGTTCTCTGGACCACCACAATTTTTGGCAAAACTTTATTTTTGCATGGGGCAATGATTTATGTTTGATTAATTCATGGCAGAAGTCCAAGAATGTTACTCACAGTGGATGTAAAACACATTGTGGAAACCTCAGAGGAAAGCAGCCCCCCCCCCCAAAAAAAAGGGAAGAATATGCATGTTTAAGCTATATGGCAAAATATTATTGGTTATTCTGTTCTAGAAAACATATTGAGGAGCCCAGAAAAAGACCAGGTAATTCTCCAGGTATTTCTGAATTTACTTTATAGATTGCATTTGATTGGATTTGTGAATCTCTATATCCCTTTATAAGCAGTTTTTCTAAGACATGGAAATGTCATCACCACTGCTTGGTTTTCAGAAACCTCTCATACCCAAAAGCAAACCACAGTTTTTCTGCAAAGTGAGAGGTGGAGCACCATCAGGATGCTTCCAGGGTTTGCACTGACTTGTGTCTCAGGACCAAGTTCAAACTGGTGTGAGCTGGATCTATTTAGAAAATGCATAAATTGGGCTTTTGCATGTTGAAGTATCAGAGGGGAACTACAGCTCTCGGGCAAAAGAGCAGGAAGTTAGAAAATACGGAGTTCAAAGCTGGCTGTACTATGTTGTCTGTGCCCAGAGCCTGAAGGCTCACACTCCCCAGCAATCACCCTGACATTGTGGCCTCTTTTATTTACTACTTCTGTTTATATTTGCTCTGCAGGGGACAATTTCCAGCTGAAGAGAAGCCCGGGCTGTCACAGGCTTGCTCACAGCATGCCTCCCCTCTGGCCCATGCAATGGAGCAGCGTGCCCGGACCAGCACCAGCTCCCACATCCGACAGGGGAAATCCCAGTCTCTGTGACCCACGCTAACCGAGCGCCACAAACCATGAGCCCAGCGAAGAGGAAGAGAAAGGAGGGAGAGGCATCCTGTTAATTAGCTAAGTCCAGTCTTGTGCCCGGCCGTCAGCTGGCAGAAAACACAACGTGAGCTTGGGGACAGGCACACACACTCCATGCAAATCCTAACCGAAAGCTTTCCATGGCTTTGTAGTTTCTAACTGTTAAGCTATGTAGCTACTGTAAATTATAATTATTGCATACTAATACAAATCTTTCCTTCTGTTCTTTGTTATACACAGTTAAGTAGTTAAAACCCATTCATACGCGGCACCATATGCCCAAGACATACTACAGTTTATTTTTGCTAATCTGCTCTCTACTTTAATCCGGTGATTTCCTATAACTAATGAAGCTGAGTAAGAGAAATGTTTTTTTCTGCATACTGAAACAGTTTAATGAAAAAAGACTTTAAACACTGAAAACATCATATGAAAACCTGTTACACAAGCTTAGCCAGGATAAACAGTTACTGTTTTCTCTTTTTTTTTTTTTTAATGTAGTGTTATTCTGGAAGCAGATATGTAACTGAAAGCAGCTCCCAGTCAGCAGCATCCTGCCCCAGCATGCAAGATGGGTCACTGTGGTTGAAAAGATATGGGGCATAGCCCTGGCCCTCACACTCCCTGCTTTTCTGTATGACTTCAAGCAAGAGTAGTTTGAGCAAGAGGAGGCTGGCTGGTTACTGCATTTAATTTGTAAGTTCTTAAGGCCAAGGATGAATCTACCAATTTCTGCAGAGGCCTCAATGCATGGTTGTAGCAAACAGCTATGAAGCATGCTCGAAATGCAAAACCTTGTACCAAATCCTAAAAATTTCTTGCTCTTACCTATATGTAAAAGGTCACACCTAGACACATCCAACACTAGAAGCTACAGGATATAAACACATGGGCTACGGTGTGCAAGAGAAAGTAATAAAGCCTTTGCTCTGTTGTAGAGGATAATGGTTAGAAAGTAGGGGAAAGAAATTAAAATTTAGGTAGGAGACATGGATGACACACTGAGAAACAGGCATGTCGTGATCTAGCTTTAGAAGCTCTAAGCTCCACTTCTTACCAAAAAAACGGATTTCACAGATCCAGACTGACAAGTTTGTAACATATTGCCCTAAATGGGGCCTTGCTTTAAGCATTTTCACACTGGTTTGCGTAAGAGCAACCTTCTGATCAGTACTTGGCTGGGAGATTGCTCTGTATTTCCATAAGGCAGAGACTCAACCTTAGGCTGAGTCTGTGCTCAGTGTAAGAAAAAGAATGAGATATTTACCTCTGGGGGCTACCAGTGAATTACAGGGAGAAACCTCCCTCCCACGTGCCAGTAGAGGACTAGAAACACAGGCATGGCAACAAGGCACTGCCTGGCCAAAACCCCTTAAGTCCCATATGAGAGCATGGAAAGATCTCCATTTCACCACTGTGGGACCAGACTGCACGTGTGCATGAAACACCAACCAACACAGCTGGTATTTCAGTAGGACTAGGGGCAGAGAGGGCCACTGCGAAAAGATGTAGGCGGAACATGCTACAAACTTATATTATTTAAAATGTAAAATGGTGCAGTAAAGGAGCATTTCTCTTTGATGTACAGGAGATCGGCATCAGAAGCTGATATGAATTAATGCTAGAAGGAACAATTCTATACTACTTTTTATACTCAAGAGACCAACCAGGTTTGGCCGTCTACCAAAAAGTCTTTCAATTATGGTTAAACAAGATTTTATTAGTCCTTTGGTTAACATAGTCTCTTAGGAAAGAGGTTAGTTGCTGGACATTTCTACCTTAATAGTTTCACCGTGGTTTGTCACTGTACCTCTCAGCTACCAAGGAGAGCTAATATATGGGGGCAATAAATTGCCTGGTGTTTTAAAAGTTAAACTTCCCAAAAGATAATTGGATGTAGTGACTACAGTATTAACAGCAGGAAGAGACACAATAATTTTCACTTTCCCTAGCAGCCTAGCACAGACAGGAAGAGATAATTTGTGATGTTGGTGAATTCTGTTTTTAATAGGCCCGAGAAAAGTCCTGCAAACCGAGCAGTGAGAGTGAGATTACCCATGTGGGGAACAGCAAGCAGGAGTCAATGCGCTGGAATCAGAGGTTAAGCAAGATGTGTAAATAAAGTTTGAGTTAACAGCAATCATACATGTAAACACATGATATGCCCTAAGTTTTCACAGTGAGGCAAGTGCTCAGTAGGATGAGAACAGAGCTGAGAACAGGTGGCAGTAGAGAAGGACTTGGAAAATAAGAAAAGAGAACCAGGAGTCTCTAAGAGCTGCCAGCCTGTCACTTTATTCACTCCTATTAAGAGGAGCAAGTCATTTTGGGTGCAGTCTGGCATCTGCAGGCAAGTGTGGGCTTGCTATCATATGCGCATCAAACCGAACCTGCAAAATCGAGTAGTCAGCCAGTGGAGTGACAATGTCTGCAACTGAAAAACAGAGAGGCTGGCTTGGAAAGTCTGACCCTGAAGGCAATTTCTATCACTGTGATGTGTGAGGAATTATGCACGAGCATCACTGGCGCTTCTAAGCTGTATAAATAACGTTCCATGCAAAATGATGGCTTGCTGCTGATTGCTTTGAAATGGATAATCACAATTTTCATTTGCATTCATTAGAAAATACTGCCTGTGAGAGATCAGACAGGCCTTAAAAAAATATATATAGAAGTGACCAAATCCACTTGCTCTAAATACAATAGTAGGTGAAGCAGAGTGCTTTCAGATTACTGCTACCTGCAAGGCTAACAGCTTCAGAGTCGCACACTGGCATTTCATAATAAGAACTAACTTCTTGCTAGCTGTTGAGACCACTCAAGTTCAAGAAAAAAATGTCCAGAGAGTCATAATCTCTGCGCCACAGTACGTGACTCACTGGGAGACCTTGTCAATGGACCAACTCTTACATAGTGGTTACCCTCCAAGAAACACCAGTGATTTAAATGAAGGTAATTCTGCTTGGCATGAATGTGAATCAGGAGAAAACCAGATACACTTGTAACAGATGGTCAGAAGGTAGGCTTACCCCCAAGTGTTGTAAACCAGCGTTCATTAACTGCATCACTAATCATTCAGGAACGCCTCACTGCAAGCGTTTCCCAGGCACCATGCAGGACCGCATGGGAGGATTATGGCAGAGGATGAAAAAAAGCAGGGGATCTCCATGCTCCTTCTCTGGCAAACCCCCTCCACACAAATCCATCTCCACTGGCCACTGCAGGCAGATTCCCTCTCAACTTTTTGCTGCTTTGGACTTGTCAAACTCTGATGTTTAGGGGATGCATAATTCCCCTTCATCTCACTGCTTCAAAGCTCTCTCCACTTGCCCAGTCTGGTAGATAAAGAAAAAACCCTTTGTGCAGAGCTCTGTCACTCCCACACCACTAATGAATAATCTCTTCTAACAAATGCAGCACTGAAAGAACATGATCAGGACCTGTTTCTTTAAGAGGGGCAGCTATCAGACTGCAGCTTTCTGAAATCTTCTTCACAGTACTGTTACCTGCCCATCTTGTGAAAAGGAAGCACTTCCCATTTCTGTAGCAACATGTCTTTTCTTTAATGGTAGGACAGAGTGGCTTTCCATTCTTTCCTAAGGCCTGAAGTATCTCTAAATTCCAGGTATCCAACTGAAGTTTTGCTTTGCTGCCATCCCATGCTTCTGTATTACAACAGCTGCGCAGTGAAAGTGTGGTGGCAGCTTTTTCCAGGTGGACTCTCATACATATCTATGGGATTGTTAATGCAACTGGAAAATACAATGAAACTCTAATTGCTTTTCAATTGCTGTAGGCCCTTGAAAAAGATATCTCACCAAGC